TGGACCGTCATACTCGCTACCCTCCTGACCGATGCCTTAACATACTTCCTACGTACATGCCCACGTTTCCATAACCTTCCCTCAGTGTTTATCTACCTCTACGTTCATATACTTTGTTTTACCGAGACTTGATAAAAAATACTTCCAATTCCATGGTTTTTAACCCATCCACCTTCATTTCCAATAAATAGATGCCCTCGGTAGTTCTTGGTGGTGATGTCCCAGTTTCGATTTTTTTCCTGATAAAACCTTTGTATGTAGTTGTGCCTAACATATTTGGTAATAGATCTCCTATCACTAAGTTGCATCCAAAGTCTCTTAAGTGCGTATTCTTAGGATATTCTCGTCTCTAAACGGTTCTCTGTTACACTTTACCATTATGTTGGCCGAGGGATGTCAGATTCAAGGAGAAATTTTTTATGTCACACACGGCATATCGTACATGACTTTTATGTCACAATAATTGATGGAACAGTTTATTCTTTAAGAAATTCATATTTTATTAAGAGTAAATTACATATTTTGGTCTGTGTGGTTATATCAAAATTATGAATTGGGTCCCTAAACAAATTAATACATTTTACGTTATCAAATACCGTAAGGAGGCCACGAAAATAAGTTCCGACCTCAAGAATTAATCATTACTAATGCAACTTGCATAAACTGGGTATTGATATCGCAGATTGAAGAAGAGCGCGGAAGAGGAGGGAGGCTCAAGCTGCATGTATAGTTAAATAAATGTATAATAATTACTATTAACCATCTTAGAGCATTTCCAACATATTGTTTCATGGAACCCCACCAAGATTAACATTTGCATCACGGGGTTAAAAACCCATAGTTTTTATCAAAATTATATTCTCCGCAGCTGAACCATGAGACATGCACGTCTGTTTAGAATAATTTGTCAAAACAAGTTCAAATTGTTGTCTCTTTTTCTTTTTCTTTTTGAAAATGGAAAAAGTGATAAAAATCTTTTGTTTAAAGTTTTAGTTTAATAGAATAATCAACTACTTTTAATCGAAATCTTATCAATGTTCGTTTGATTTTCTGCATCTCCAATCTGTTTGATTTTATTCATCTTTGTTTGGTTTTTTACGACAAAATTGAGTTTATACATAGGACCCCTAAAGTGTTGAATCTCCTAATGGAGTGCCTTATAGGACCTAAGTCTATAGGACCAAAAAATAAAACATCCTATCTAAAAGTGTTACAATAAGTTTATATTACGCTTTTAGGCATTGTAATAAGTTTTCTAGGACATTTTTTAAAATATAGTATCGTATTAGCTATTTTATAGGACTGTTTGAGAAAGTGTTCTATAAACACAGGTATCCTATAAAAAGATGGGTTTATAAGACATTTGTCAAAAATATCCTATAAAATAGCTAATACAACTTTTTACTTTAAAAACATGTTACGATGCTCAAAAGCGTCCTATAAACTTATTGTAACACTTTTAGATATGACATTTTATTCTTTTATCATGTAAACTTAAGTCTTGTAGAGCACTCTATTAGGACAATTAAACTTTAGGCGTCCTATAAACCCGATAATGTTGTGATGAGTAATGACGGATTTTTAACATTTTAGGTAAATCTTACATCTGTCCTACATTGATAGAGTGAAATTTGTGAGCTTTTTTAAGACTTAAGTTATGAATTATCAATAACGAGCTTATGTTAACATACAATTTATTGTATTCTTACCAATTATATATAGTATGTGACAAAACTGTCATATTATGATATTATTTATCAATCTTGTCTTTAATTTTAAAGCTCACATTCACATATATAGCAGAATTGGATCCATTAAATTGTTAGGAGATGATGATATCTTTCTCACATTTACAAAGACAAAATGTCATCATGAATTCTTTTTCTTTTTAAATTCATTCATGTTTGTTTTTGATATTGTTGACTTGACTTGGGCTTCCATTATTGAATAAATTAATTATTAGTTGGATCCACTATTATCTCTATAATCAATCATTAAGCCTACTCCTTTTGGTCTCTCCAACACAATTTTACTGCAAATCTTAATATCGTAAGCTCCAAGTTCATTTATAGCTTAAATGAGATGTATTTATGTATATATTAGAATGCTACTAGCCAATCTACACCTAATACAGGATCTAGTAGTGCTTTTGTACAAGCAGATGGTCCGTGGCATGCATACATGATGGATATGATGAAGAGGTTTACATAATATATATTATTTCATTTGTGGATAATCATATTAGGTATTTATGACAGATTTGTGTATTGTATATTTGTATTTAATTTACAGGATCTTTATATTTTAGAATTTTAGATTATGAGGTTTTTTGGTTTTTTTCCCGTACCAGCTAAATTTCAGACAGATTTCTAGCGGGTAATTCATCGGTAAATAATTAGATATAAGCTTTATTAAAAAAAATCTGGCGGATTTTTCGACGGAGTCGGTAATTATTTTGTGTTCATTAAAACTAAAAAGCAGTTTCATATTTTGAATCAAGAAAAAAGTTTTTAAATAGAATTACCGATGAAATTTCCATCGGAAATCTGTCTGAAAATTATTATTTTTATTTTTAAAATAAAAACTGGTTATTGTTTTAGAAGAAGATGGAATTTATTTATTTATATAATTCTGTAATTTTGGTTTCAAAACCATCTAATCAAAAAGGGAATATAAAATTCAATTTTGTATACACATTATATCCAATTAATCTTGAAAATAAATATGATTGATTTTTGATTTTCACATATTTACAAAGTCAATTAAATGTTTATATTTAATAAAAACCCAATGTCTTTAATCTATTCGAAATTTCCAAACAATTTCCTTATCAAAACCATTTGTTGACGTTGACTTGGGCTGAGAAAAAATACAGTGCTTGTTGGATCAATCAACTCATAAATCATACTCCTCCCCTCATCTCTCAAATCCTCCATACCTTCCTTCGTAATGGTTGTCCTCTCTGAATTATTACAAGAATCTTCATCTTCTTCCACAACTCATGGTGGTCGTCATAATTATGACGTCTTTTTGAGTTTTCGGGGTATCGACACTCGTCTTAGTTTCACTGATCACCTCCACGAGGCGCTCCTCAATGCTAACATCACTACTTTTTTGGACGATGAAGAGATYGAAACTGGACTATCTTTGAAGCCGGAATTGGAGAGTGCAATCAAAGCATCTAGGGCTTCTATTATTGTGTTGTCTGAGAATTATGCTTCTTCGTCCTGGTGTCTCGATGAATTGGTATTGATCCTCGATCAGAAGAGGACCTCYGGCCATATGGTTATCCCCATCTTCTATCATGTCGAGCCCACCGATGTACGGAAGCAACAAGGCAGCTTTGGAATTGCTATGGCAAAACATAAACAGAGGATGGAAGCTGAGACGAATGAGGAGGAAAAACATCAATTGGTTGAGAAGATGAATAAATGGAAGAAAGCACTTGAAGAAGTTGCTAATTTAAAAGGGAAGGATGCAAAGGGATGGTAACGATCCTTCTTACCCATTTTTCTACGTACAATTTCAATATTACATTCTCTTTAAGCATTTCTGTGTTTATTTCATGATCATAAATTTAAATAGCCATCTTTTTTATGTATTTTTAAATGTGTTAATTAACGAACTTTGATTAAAATAATAATTGATTTGGACCATTTAAATCTCCAAATCTGGTTATTTAGGTTTGTGGTTGGTGATTTGTAGTTTTCATTAAAATCAATTTCAGGCAAGAGACTAAGTTTATTGAAGAAATCGTTACGGACATCTACCATAGATTAGGTGTACCCTTAAGGACTGCTCTACCGCTTCTTTGTGGGATGGAAAAGTCTATACAGTTTATCACCTCATGGTTGAAAGATGGAGCATTGCATACCGCTGATATTCTCACTATTTTTGGTTTGGGCGGCATAGGGAAGACATCTTTGGCCAGATATGTTTACGAGTTACATTGTCGATTGTTCGATAGAAGCAGCTTTATTGAAGGTGTCAATGAGAAATGTACTCAACAGGTTAATGGACTACTTGATTTACAAAATCAACTTTCTCACGACATTTCAAAAACAAGTCCCATTCATGTTCATGATGTTTTCAGTTACACCTCTATCATTGAGAATGCACTAGCTCGTCAAAAGGTGTTTATAGTTCTTGATGATATTGATAGTCTCAGACAGCTGGATGCATTACTCGGAAAGAAAGGTTTTCATCCAGGTAGCAAAATTATAATAACGACTAAAGACTCATCATTGAACGAGAAATATGCATTAATCAATTCAATAGTTCAACCCAAGCATACGAAGCTCTTTCTTGAAGGCTTAGATGGGCAATCATCATTACAACTTTTAAGTTATCATGCGTTCAAGGGCAACAATCCTAAGAAAGGTTATGAAGAAGTGTCAAAAAAGCTTATGGCATATTGTCAAGGGCATCCATTGGCTCTTAAAGTTTTGGGTGAGTCTTTGCATAAGAGAGATGTGGCTGAATGGGAGGAACGCATAGAAGGTCTAAAGGAAGAAATGGATTCCCGTATTCAAAAGGTGTTGCAAGTGAGCTTTGACTCTATGCCATCTAACAACGATAAGGAATTGTTTAAGCATATTGCTTGTTTTTTTGTTGGAGAAGATAGAAACTACATTGAAACAATATTGAAGGCATGTAGTATTCGCACACTACATGGGATCACAAATCTCATTGATAGATGTCTTCTTACGATCGGACCAAGGAATGAGTTAAAGATGCATCAGTTGCTTCAAGAGATGGGAAGAGATGTAGTACGCCAAGAATCACCAAACAAGCCATGGAAGCGTAGTCGATTATGGTGTCATGAGGAATCATTCAATGTGTTGGAACAAAACAAGGTAACATGCCATTCATACTTGTCATCGTCACTACAGCAAAATTAGGTTTATAGAACACCAACAACTTCTAAGCGTCTTAATAGACTGCTTTAGACACTACTAAATGAAAGACTTTTTTACCTACAAACTTTTACCTGGGAAAAGTCTGTCGCTAAAGGGTGATTTGTCACAAACCGTCACAAAAGTTGATGGGTAAATTGTTGGTGGTTCAAATAAGTGAAAGATTAGCCGGTGTGGGTGATCAATTGGTATTTTCTCGAAAACATTGCCTTTACCGAACTAACGGTATTTTCTGGGTGAAGACAGAAATTTCACTGGGTGATTTTTGTGGGTAAAATTCATTTGTTTTGTGGTGATAGGATTTAATATATAAGACCCAAAAATAAAGTGTGCTACCTGAAATCGTTGTAATAAGTATTTATGACATTTTTGGTGTCATAACAAGTTTGTATGACACTTTTATAAAAGAACATCATATTAGCAGTTTTACAGAACATTATTTGAAAAAGTACCTTAAAAAAACAAATGTCCTATAAAAACATGGGTTTATAGGACACTTTCACAAAAGTATCYTATAAAATAGACAATGTGACGCTTTGTATTTAAAATGTCCTAAAAAATTCGTTAAGATGCCCAAAAGTTTCCTAT